AGCAATGTTGACGACGAAGGCATCTTTCACTGGCTTTACCGCAAACCATTGACCATGTTTGCAAACTTCCAGTCCCCCAACGTCGTCTTGGATGAGGATGCTGATAGCACGGGGGTCCGAGTGAGCCGACAGGCCCTTGACAAGCTCCGGTGTGTGGTATGGAAGGTAGTAGTTCATGATGCATATGATCTTCTCGCCCATTACCTTAAGATCGTAACTATTCTCCAAGCCAAGGCCCTTGGAAATATTATCGAGCAAGCAGTGTCCAAAGGCTGAGACCTGGTCATGGTACTTTTTCATCACTTCCCTGTTGCATCAATTTTGATTCAAGGACTCTTAGGCAAGAAAAAACTTTACCTGAAGCAACTCGGTGACTCTGGCCAAATGTCCTCCTGTCGAGCAAGACTATAGTCCAGCCTGAGGAAATACTTTAAGTCGATTGCTTTCTCGTCTTTCCTGTTGTTAAATCCAGAGCCATATCTATTGAAATGCCATAAGATTCTTGTTAGTTTTTATCTTTTATCTTTCTCTACCTGTATGCTTCAGATGGATCATCACTGAGTTTATTCCCCAATGAATTATAGGCTTCATTCTCCTCTGATGTCTGATTGAAAATTTCTTTGGCTAGTTTGAGGACATTTTTCATACTAGCAATTGGAACGCCATGATTTATTGCCTAGACAGGAGGGACAATTGAAAGAGATAAAATGAAGAACCTTTCCCTACCTGGAAAAAACCCCATTCTTGGCAAGCCCAAGCTATAGCATCTACTATATACTTGGGATCACCAGAGAAATCAATTATTGGAACTTGAGAATCATCAAGAACTTCTGCCTCTTGAAACCTATTGTTCAGATCTTGGAGATAATTCTCTTCTGGTGCAACTCTACCCATATCCAAAGTGAAATAATCTGTATGTGCGAGTGTTATGGGAAGGAAGACAACCAATCAATTGTTAGTTGCTGAACTTTTTGGGCCGCCGGATCCAGCCAATCACAGCCGTTCGATGGGGGGTAACTGTTAAAGGGTTTATATCCAAATTTCATTCTATGATCATATATGTTATAAAGACCTTAAGTTTAAAACTCTTTAACAAACCAAATTAGGGTTGAGACTAAGGGTTAGTAGCTTTGGGTGGGAGTAGGCATAGACTTGAGGAGTGCTAAAGAGGCTTCTCAAGAAAATGTTTAAAAATAATTCTCACTCCTAAAAGGGAAATTGACTATATTGTTCATAGCTCAAATGGAATGGAATACTGAAACTATTGAACTAGAAATTGACTATATTGTTCATAGCTCAAATGGAATACTTAAACTATTTAAATACCATAACGCTCATTAGTCCTCATCCTTTCCTAGGGGTTTGGGCCTTTCTTTTGGGATGGAAGTGGGGAGTTGAGGTAATATTAAGCTACTTAGCCACAATGTTTACCCTTAAGGTCTTGAATTAATAAATGCACCTAAGGCTTGGGATTTAGAGGGTATAAATCTTGCTATATTATAGGATATTAAGAACTTAAAGGCTTGGTGTGCTTAATTGCTTATACTTGTAGAAAGAGTAGTCAAACCTTAACTCCAATCTAACCCAAGGAGGGGGATTACAAGAAAGTTTAAGAATTCATAAAGAGTTGGCACATTTCTCATGCAATAAATAGTTAAACTTAGGTGGGACTAAGCCAGAGCTAATATAATAGGCATGAACTTTGGTAAAGAACAATATAGACCATATATTTAAAATACTAATATATTCCCAAAGCGAGAAAAGAAGAATTAGTAAATAAATATTATTGATAAAGATAATATATGCAAAGTACTACTTGGGAATATAAATATATTTAGAGTACTAAAATTTATTAAAACTTAATACCCAACCTAAAGAAAAGTTAAACAAAACTTGCCAAGAATAAATTTCTTATAGTTATGAGAATATAAATAAATTTAGTACACTCCCAAACAAAAAAAGGAAATGAAGAATTACTAACAAAGAATTTTCTTAATTAGATGTTATATGTAAATTATGTTTTTACTTGGGATACAAACAAATTTAAAATCCAAAAATGGTAAGAAAACTAATATATTACTACCCAGATTCAAACAAAAGTAAAGAAGAATTACTAAGATTAATTATTATTATTTTAGGGAAGATAACTAAGATTTTAAGAAAATTAGACCCCACAAAGGATTGCTCATTGAAAAAAAATAGCACTATTGAAAATCTAATGTCTAACCTAGAATGTCATTAAAGAGATAGAAGAATCCCCATTGAGAATTGAGGGAGTGGCCTTACTCAATAGAGTGGAATTAGAATCACTAGCTACTGCTGCCATTAGAGCTTGCATGAAGCAATTGACTAACTTTGGGTTAATTACAGATGTTGGCCCAAAGAACTGCTTAATTTTTGCCATGTCATTGAGCACATGCAAAACTTACAATAGTTTTTTTTTTTTTTTCTCGACAGACAATAGGGACAGTCACCTTGCATGCAACACATGTCACAGCACCTTCCTCTCCTACCCCACGCAGTTTGGCTGCCTCCCATTAACCAGGAGCAAACATAAATAAATAAATAAATATATCAAACTTAATTTTATACTTGATCTTAAACTTAGTCTCATCCAATGAACTATTTATTTTTGCTCAGTAAGGGTTATTAGTTAATAGTCAATGAGGATATTAACATCTCTAAAAGGAGTGTAACACATGATCATCTTTATAAATATACTAAACCATTAGGAGTACTACTAATGTTGTCAACATCATCTTTTGTTTAGTTTGAGGATTGTGAGTGCACATTTATGGATCTTAAAGAGGTTTGATGACTCCTCCAATTTTAATATCTCTTGACTACACTCAAGCTTTCATTTTTCACATGGATGTTTTTTATATTAATCTTGGGGATGTATTGATACAATAAAGCACAAGTGTATTTGGTTAGCATCACCTTATTACGTATATCAGCCGTATGTTGTAACTAGTAGAGGTGAACTATTTCATAATTTAGGAGGGTTCAACAACAATTTAGAGTTTTGAGAAGCTTCATACATATTTGCATAGTTCTTGGACATTATTAAAAGGTGATCATGTTGTGGTTACTTTATTATTAAAGCAATAGAATCATACTATTTGGTAAGCTTTGAATTTCTAAATATATAATTTCAAAGTTATTATTGCTTAAGGAGTTATATAGCTAATACTAACACCCTTTTTTGTGCTTCTCTCCTTTCTTCACTCTCTTCTTTTATTCCTAATGAGCCTATTGTTCTAGCATTAATAGATTTTTTGAAAAAGAATTCTATACTATCAGTAATTATTGTACTTAATGTTTAATTTTCATAAAATATGGAGTAAATTTTACCTTCTCTTGACAAGGTTTGTAAGGTTTGTAAAGTTGAGTTATATATTTGAAGTCTTTGTGATGAGTTTATAAAACCTACATCACTTGCTCATGATTTATTGTTATAGCATTTATATTCTCAATATCACTTTGAGGACAACTTTCTTTATTTTGTGAAGATTGATCCTAATAATTTATTATGGTTTGTGGTGCTTGTTTAGCATGGATTCTTTCAGATAATAGTCTTGCATTTATAGTTGAGACATTTCATAATTTGATATCTCGGTTAGGGATATACTATACTTTCATGAGTGTTTATCATCTAGAAATAGATGGTTTGGTTAAATAGTTAATTGAAACCTTCAAAAAAATAATTGAAAGGATAATTATGAAGTATGTGAAATTTTAACATTTGGATTGAGATGGTTATTTATTATCTCTTCAATATGTATAAGTTATAGGGGTATAAAGTTTCATTAGTGCTTCAACATATAAACTTTTATATGGTCATAATACTATATTGTCAACTAAGTTGAGTCTATTTTTAAGATTGCCATGATCTACTGATGTTAGGTTTTATAATGATGTGAGGGCACTCATAATTAGTATTTGATAAGTGTTAGTTTATTAGTTTGAATAGAATCTATTAAACACTTAAGCCATGTACAAGTGGGACAATAGTAGAGATACAACTCTTATCATTATCCACCTACAAATTAATTTATTTTCTTAATCATATGATATATAATTTATCTAAAAGGCTCCTTGCTCAATAGAATGGGATTATATCAAGTATGATGGCAAATTGAATTGTAAGTTTATGAAGTTTGGCATGATATACCAATCCTCCAGAAATTGTTTATATGCAATTGAATCACTTAGATCATAACTAATTAGCATTGCTTATAGATCCTTTGATGCTTCCTCATGATATTCCTTCAAATACCAGTCGATTAACTAGATAACTTTAATTGCCTTCTATTCTTTTGAGAGAAGTATGGCTATATACATTTAATTGTGTAGTGAGATTTTAGTAGTCATTAGATTGGTTTCAATCTAAACTACTCTCATAAAGGTAGTTAAAAATATTTTTATTATTAAATGATTAAGTTTTAAATAAATATTTATAAAAAATGAAAATATACCCTATATTATATTTATTTTATAGATGATATATTTAGACCTTGTAGCACATAAAAATACTCCAAAAGTACTTCTTCTTCATTTCATTTGGCTCACTTCATTGCTCTTGTTTTTGACCCCAGGGCAATTGAGCCATGCTACTGCAGCCATGGCACAAGCCCTTTGCAGCCTTCTTGCCATGGATGGCACAGCTACTGGATCACGCATGTTGGAGCCTTTTCTACCCCACGGCCCCATAACCTTCATAAACAGTTATCTATCTATTTATCTGGCACTTTGGCTTCTGTTTTGTGAGCCACCCACAAATGGTTGGCCTTGGCTTGTGATATTTGAGATTGCTCAATGTTAAAAACAATTTAAAAAAGATGACTGTGCACAAAGCTCTAGACGTTGGGCCTCTTATATAGTTAGCTAAATCCCTTAATTTAACGTATTATATTTTTGAAAAAAGTTCTATTTAATGCAACTTTTAGACATTGCTTTTATGGTTTATAAATCCTTTACTGTTAGCTTTAAACCTCTTCCTATATGCTTCGATTCTGTAGCTGCAAAAGCCTGTAGGCCCTGCTCGCAGCGTAATTTCCCAGCTTGAGCTCCTGTTGTAGCTTGCAAGCACCAGCCAAAGTGCTCCATGCAACATCGTTGGGAAAGAATGGCATGTTGTTGATCAGTTCATCGGCCTGACTGAGCTCCCCCGACCTCGCAAGTATGTCCACCATGCAAGCATAATGCTCCGCCGCGGGAGTCAATCCAAACTGCGATACCATGCTTGTGAAGCACCACCAGCTGATCTTTACAAGCCCCGCATGGCTGCACGCGATGATTACGCCCAGAAATGATACCTGGTTCGCCTTGAATCCTTGCACGACCATATCCAGCAGCAACTCCACACACTCGTGGACGCATCCAATGCGCGCAAACGCTGCGATGAGCGAGTTCCACGACAGCAAATCTCTGCCAGGCATCCTCTCGAACACCCGCTTGGAGGAGCTCGGCTGGCCGTTCAAAGCATACATGGCCAGCACGGAGTTCCACGACGCCACCTGAGAGTGCGGCATTTGCGTGAGGATCCTCACGGCGTCCTCGACGTAGCCGCTCTGGCCAAAGACCACAATTATCGAGTTCCACGACACGGAGCTTCGCGCGGGCATCGTGTCGAAAGTCAACTTCGCCTCCTCGACCCGGCACTGCTGACCATATATTCGAATGAGCACCGTCCATGAGACGACGTCCTTCTCGGGCATGGCATCAAAGATTCTCTTGGCCTGGCGGAGATGCCCGTTTTGGGCGTAAGCAGCAATCAAGGTGTTCCATGACACGGCATTCCACTCGGGCATCCTGTCGAAAGTCCGCTGTGCTTGCTGCAAGTAGCCGGACTGCCCGTATGCGTCCACCATGGCTGTCCAGGAAATGATGTTCCTCTCGGGCATCCCCGCAAAGAGCCTCTTGGCCGCCTCCAGCTCGCCATTCAAGACGTAAGCCTGAAAGAGAGCGTTCCACGACGCGGTGTTGTGCTCCGGCATCCTGTGGAACAAGCGCTCGGCCTGGCGGAGCTCCGAGTTCTCGCCATATCCCGAGATCATGGAATTCCACGAGACCAAGCTCAAGAAAGGCATCTTGACAAACAGCCCCACAGCTTCATTTAAATGCCCGTTTTGGGCAAATGCTGCAACCATAGCGGACCATGCTACAAGATTTCTCTCCGGCATTTCGTCGAAAACCATCTTTGCTTCTATCAAATAGTTGCTTTGTGCAAAAGCTACAAGCATGCTCGTCCACGACACGACGTTTCTCTCGGGCATGGCTTGGAAGAGTTTTCTCGCTTCCTCGACATGCCCGTTCCGGGCATATGCTTGGATCATGATGCTCCAGCTGAAAACGTTGGGGTCCCGGATGCTGGCAAAGATCCTCTGGGCCTCCTCGACGCTTCCGCAGTCGCCATACATCTGGACAAGGATATTTGCCACGAATCTATCGTCCCGGAACTCGCTGTCCAGAATGCGCGAGTGGAGAAGCCTTGCCTGCGTTAGATCACCCACCTCGCGCACCAGACGCTCGATCAAATCGCGACGCTCCTGCCGCCGCTGCTGGATTTGGGTTCCCAGTCGCTCTCGCGGCTCCGATCCGTGTCGACACAGCGGATCGGCGCAAAGATTCATTCCATACAAGTTTTTCTTCTTTTGTGATTTGGCAAAACTACCAGTGTCTGCAAGTTTTCAAGAGGACCACTTCATTCTCTTTCGAATATTACAACAAACAATGATCTTAGGTGATTCTCTACTTGATTATTGGAAAACCAAAGCATCATCCTTCTCTCTTTTTCTCTCTCTTTTTTCTTTCATAGAAGAAACCATTTTCACGAAGGAAAATGGGGATCATGCATTGCCGCTAGATAAACCCAAAGGATCGAATCATTGTCAACGGGAGCGAGCTAAAGAAAGAACTCATCCACTTTGCGTGGCAAACTTATTTGCTTTCTTTTTTTTCGTGCTCCCGTTTCTCGAAACAGTACGGAGATTCGAATGGAAGAATCAAAAGTTGACTCTTGCGAGTGAGGGCGCTTAACAATAATTTGATTGCGGTTTGCTTAATTCCGGGACTTGCATTTTAAATCCTCGCAAAAGACACACATCCCATCTCATTTGTACACGGTACAACAAAAACACACACCCAAACACACTCTCTCTCTCGTAGTTCCCCTTACATTCTTTTAGCGCTTTAGTTCTCTTCTCTGGGGTGATCTTTGTCTTGCGGCTTGCCCTTCCAAAAATCGCAAGCTTGCGCGCCCACTTCGATGATCCAGCAGTACGCAAGCGCTGGCTCTAGAAGCTCGTCAGCAGCAGCAGCGCGCTTTGCCGGGGATGATCCTCTTCTTCCTAGTGATCATGCGGCTTCCTTTGGATGAGATCCATGTCACAGCTTTCTCGATCACGATCCCACCACTACTTGCTCCCCACAGATCCCAAGATATGAGCAGGAAGAACACCACCACCGCCACCACTGCCGTGCTACAATCGAGTTCGAGGGGCGACAAAGTTTCCTCTTCTATCCGAAAGTCTCGGTTTTGATCCACTCGTCGATCCATCCATGGCTTTGTGTATCAGTCACCTCCAGTCCAGAGCAGTACTGAGTGATACTTCGATTTGATATCACTTACACATCTTGGGAGTGATCTTGATCCATAGGAGAGGAAAGGAAGTAAACAAGCGAGAAGGGGGAACGGTCGACTATCAAATTACTCCCCCGGAATGATGCAGCAGCTCGATCAAAAGGACAAAGCCGTGGCTCGCGAGGAACACTGTGCCAAGAGCCACTCGCAAGCAAACAACAGCTCCAGCAATACGGAGGAGGAACAGGCACACAAGAGCATGAGCGTCAGCTCGCCCGAGAGCTCCTCGGCGGGGACGAATTCAGGCAAGAGCTGCGACAGCAGCAGCCGCAAGAACAGCAGCAGCAGCGCCGCCACCGCGGGCGGCGTCCGGCAGTACGTGCGATCCAAAATGCCGCGCCTCCGATGGACGCCGGACCTCCACCACTGCTTCGTCAATGCCGTGGAGCGGCTGGGCGGCCAGGACAGTGAGTATCTTGTTCGCGCTTGTTTGATCTTCTCATGGATCATCAAACGGGTTTTTATATCATAGTACCATCTTCTTTCCTTTCAAGATCTTGATCACTTTTGCTTCGTTTGTGTTGCTCAGGAGCCACTCCCAAGCTGGTTCTACAGCTCATGGATGTCAAAGGATTGACAATTGCGCATGTCAAGAGCCATTTGCAGGTTCCACTTCTTTTCCTGCATTCGTTTATTTTGGGAAAAACTGCAATTTGGTTTCAACTTCGCAGATGTATCGGAGCATGAAGAATGATGAGAATCACGGCCAAGGTCAGTGCAAAACTTATTTTGTCAGTCAGACGCATTCCCCGATCCAAAGTAAAAAAGCTTTGTGGTTTTCGCTCGTTTTTTCGTATTCTTTTTTCTGTAGCGAGTTCCGAGGCAGGCCAGGATCATCTGGCGTTGATTGACGATCGGAGCTCCCTCGTCGGCACCGCCTTTGCATCTTCTCTACAGCAACACCTTGATCTTGGACACCATCACCCACACGAAAGCTTTGCAGCCTTCCAGCAACAGGAACAGCAGCAGCAGCACTTCTTCTGCCGTCCTGTGCTTCAGCCACTCGCCAGGTATTTCAATCTCACTGGGATATCACCCAAGTCTGACGAGTGATTTCCTGCTTTGCTCATCCGTGGAACCGTGCCTCTCGATCCAATCCTGAAGGCACCACCACCACCAACACCAGCAGGAGCATGGGTTTATGGTGGAGAGCTCGAGCTCGTCGGGCCTGCGAAGCCACAGGAGCCTGCCAAACGATCTCGTCCACCTCAACGACTACTGGCTGAATTTGCAGACGCACAAGCAGATCAGCCCCGGGAGCAGCAGCAGCAATTACAGCAGCCGATCCGAGTGGACTCAGAATCATCTCATGCAGATCGATCACCACCACCACCACCACCGAGCTGCGCAGCAGGCAGCGATTAACAACAACAGCAACGTAATTGACAACAACATCAACAACAGGCATCGAGTTTTCGAGGAGCTGAGGAAGCAGAGACTTGTTCTCGACTCCTCCTCGCACAGCACCCACGCAACGATGCAACTCCTGGTCAGTACCAGTCCTCTCTCTCTCTCTCTCTCTCTCTCTCTCTCACACACACACACACACACACACATCCGTGTGATTGGTTTTCATCGTTTCTCTTTTTGGAAACAGGACCGGATGAACAATCGAAGATCAAGCCCCGACTCTACTGACGATGACGACGATGATGATGGCAGTAACTTATCACTGTCACTAACAAGTTCCCCCGCTGGCATGAAGAACAAGGCAAAGCGGCGAAACGGGAAATACATTCGCAGGGGCAGCAGCAGCACTAGTAGCGGGCAGCCGGATCAAAATCGCGGGGAGCCGGTCATAAGATTGGATCTCACGCTCTCCATCGCCCACAAATCACCGTGATCAATCAATCAATCAACAGCAAACTCAACTAAAGTTGGAAGCTAACTCGAACTGAATATTTTGCTAATCTACTATGCATGAACCTAGTCACCTATTCCTTTTTCTTTCGAGCGTGAGAGATGCCAGACACAATTCTCCTGCGCGTGTTCGTCGCTGATCCATTCAAAACTTCCTGAGTGAAACTTACGAACTCTGCGCCACGGCTGAGCAATAGCTTTCTTTGATTTGACAAAGCAAAGCTCTGGATCCACAGCAAGGAACTGCTTGAAAAGTCTGTTTTGTTTAAATGGAAGCGAACCATTGAAATGGAGATCGTAGCTCCCCCCATGGCTGTCGTCACCACCTTCGTACTGCAACACTCCACAGTTGTTGTACAGTTGGCTCCTCTTCTCCGTTAGAGCTTACGTTACGAACACTCGAGCAGTCGGTCAAACTACACAAAGAAAAATAGAAAGAAAATGAGAAACCACGGAATGTAAAGCAACTAGAAATGGAAGGATTAAGAAACTCTAGCGTGATTTTAATCGGCTCTGGCTGGACTGCACATATAACTTCACAATTGTTTATATGCGGCTGCAGGAGCGAGCAGACGCGAAGCGTTACCTAAGCCTCCTCCGGTGATTATCTCTAAAAAGTTCTCATATCACAGGAGATTAATCGAAGAAAAAGAGGGAGACGATTGTCTATCATGCCATCATTTGCATGCTGCAGCTCCGGACATGGTCCTCAAGAGCAAACAAACAAAGTATTTCTGCTGGCTAGCTGTACTTGGCTTGTGGACTTTTCATCCATGCGAGAAAAGAAAGAGAAAAAGAAGAAGAATCCTGCCGTGAACTCTCTTCATTCCCCAGAATGTCACGGAGATGATTGATCGATCCATGCAACACTGCAGGGATTGATCGATCCATCTATCCGACTCCAACACAAGAGTGTGGGTGGTCAGGGAGAGTCAAGCAAGGCACTCGAGAGATCACCATCCATCAATCTAATCTCTCTAAATCCAAAGTTAAGAAGCTCAAGCTTTCCAGCCGACCCAGAGGGGGCTTTAATGCTCTCTCGGACGCTTCTTTCCTGCCAAAAGATTTGTTTACGAACCCGGAGAGAAAAAAAAAGAGCGAACTTACGTTTTGGATGATAGCTAGTCAATATCCTTCACACTGTTGCAGAGCCTCACGTTTGTTTCCTGGTCAATGTCCACAGAGAACTCTAAAGAAAAAATAAAAGAGAAAAACAGAAAACGGAATAAAAAATTCCTTAGCAGACCAGAAAATAGCATAGCCGACTGTGCACCTCTAGCTTCTACCAAGAACCAACCACGAATAAACTCTAAAATCAGAGCAAATGCGAGCTAGCTACAATCTATAGAGAGAACACTATACTACACCAGGCAGTCAGCAGATTTCACCTTCCTGCAAGGAAGGAGGATGGAATCATTCATGAAGAACTTGAATGCCAACATTTATTCTGTGCTGTGCGCTTTGTCGTCACACAAGGTAGAGGACTTCCTTACACACAAGACTCACATACACACACACCCACACAGGAGAACTCATCAAAAAGAGTTTGACAAGAAACCAGGAAGAAAAGATAAAGCAAAATCATGTCACATACCTTGGAACAACATAGATGTTCGGTTCGAGGCATTAATGTCGCTCCAAAGCAGCCTCGATCGAGTGTCACCCTCGACTGCAAAACGACATTCTCCATCTTAGCACATTTGTGGACGATGTAATAAAAACCATGAGCAAAAACAAACGGGCACACTCCAAACAGAGCAGTGCGCAACAACGAACGCAAAACATACCTCCTTCACCAAACTTTTCCCCTCTTTGCTCCCCAATGCACGTCTCTGTCCCAGAAGCAGGCGATGCTTCCACTTCACATCCATTCGAATCCGATCGCTTCAGCCTTTTATCTTTAAAAACCAAAAGGAGGAATTAATATAAAGCGAAAGAGAAAAGAGAAAAATAAAAAAAGTGGTAAAAGAAACTTCCTGGACGTGCGTCTAGGTTGGTGTCATTAAAATCTCTCCTCGTTGATTGCCTAGACGTGCTGCAGTAGCAGCTGCAAAATTCTGGCCCTGCTTCTATACTTCTCCCCTGCACAGAAGCGATACAGAACGACACTAGTTTTTTCCTCCCGGCTCGACTCGACTCGAGAGTCATGTCTTAGAAAACAAACAGGGGTGCGTTACGAACCAGATATCCATAGCCTGCCCCGGCTGCCCGTTAGAACCTTAAATATGCCATGCTTGACATTCTATGTCTGCTGCATTTGCTGCTGCGCATCAGGAAAACGATGGTCATACTCCACAGAGTCCACCCGAAACAAACAAAGCAAGAAACATATTAAATGACTGGAGGGGTGTGTGTACTCGGCAATACTTACTTGTTCTTCGTCTTCTATTTCCAGGGTCTAGATTCTCCATTCACAATAGCATGTCAACGTTTGAGTGTTTGGCCACCACCACCACGGACGTGCTTGATTGTTCTTTCTTTGTCTCGTAATTTCACTGCGAGGCATCGAAGGAATTAGGTAGGTAGATGGACTGATAAAAAAGAAGTCACCAGTCAAGCGTAAGCAAAGCTCCTAAATCAGAAAAGTAGCAAAGCGTACCCGCGCATATAACATTCCCTCTCGGTTATTCCTTGTTCCTTGCAGCAGCTACAAGTCCGGAAAAGAAAGGAAGAAAAAAAAAAGAGAACATCACCATCAGATCAAGCAAAGCGAGAAATATAAAGAGAAATTCCACTCACGAAACTTTATAAGCGCTTGCATGAGAGAATCAGTCGTTCTCCTCCACCATCTCTGAGATGGATGCTCAAAGGGTCATCCGATAGTTGCCTCTACCAAATCCAGAATATATTGCACCAAACCAAGGACACTCCCCGTGGATCGACAGATTGCAACCTTCAACAAGATCCAAAAGCCAAGCATTAGTAGGTGCCAAAACCAACAAAGAAATGTAAGAAGTATCAAAAGCTTCAGGCTCTCAACAAACAGCCCATACCCCGTAACTGCACCAGTCGATGTCAATCGCCTTGTTGCTTGCTTGCTTCCTTCCTTCCACCTTGAAAAAACCAAGTCCCCCGCAAGGACGAAAGAAGGAAACGGAGAAAACAAAGCAGAATTGAATGAAGCGAAGCTGCCAAAAACTTTGGAACCAAACCCGGTCGTTTTAAGTCGGATCATTGAAAACTCTGTTTGCTGATGATATACAGAAGAAAAAACGACTTTAGTCTGTTGTTCTCCCCCCCAATCACCCCGCTATCCCCTGTGTAAAGTGTCCCTTTTCAAAACGGGACCAAAGAGACGCCTTTGCCATGATGCCAAGCCAAGCTCGTCTGCGTGAGAAAGGCTGCCAGCGACCACAAGGAGAAAATGCCCAGAAGTTGCAACGATGACAGGAGCATCTGTAGCGAGCTCGTAATCGCCGTGGTCTGCACTGATGCCTCCAGTGTTTTCATGGAAAATATAAGCCCCGCGACAAGCTGTGCTGCTCTGTTTAGCTGGTGAAGACGATAAACCTGGAATATCAAGCTTTACAAGCTGGCCTCTACGAAAAACTCATTGCCAAGCAAACCTGGAAAATCATCGGTACTAGAGGTCGAATCGATGGCTTGTCTTCGGCAAACTTCTCTCCGCAAAATTGCACCACCAGCCCCGACACATATGGAACTAGAGCAGCGATGGCCGCGGGGCCCGTATACTTCCAGGCCACGAAGAAACTCGAAACAGCCAAGACCGTGGAGAGAGCGGTGCATACCGTGGCCGACACATTGTATCCCCAAGTGTAGGAAGCAGCAGCTAAAGCATCGCCTTTGGAACCGCGAACACGAACAGGTCCTCGAAACTTATGAGCAACGAAAAGGAATGCTGATACTCCGATGTAAAAGTAGGCTTCCGTGAAGAACAAAATGATAAAATCTGCATTCACGAGAGAGATTAAGTCGATCTCAATGGAGATGGAAAAAAGAAAAGCGAGACAGAAGAAAGATGGTGAGAAGTACCTGTTACTACTGTATCGTCGAGAAGATATTCAAAGACGGTCCGAAAAACGTATGGCGGTAGCACGACCGAAGCAACCAGCACAAAAGGTCCAAGCAGCCAGAGAAGCGATCGTCGCTTCACTCCTGTGAGCAAACGATCTTCTCCAGCAGCTCCGCTATAGAACGAAACGAATCCAGTTTTGCCGCTGATATCTGCGTCCTCCAAAAACTCCAAGTCGATGTGATCGGGTTCTTGAGAAGCTGCTGCTACTTCTTCTCCAGCAGGGTTCTCTTGCGAGTCGAATTCTTGCGGGCTGTTGCTGCTCGTCACCTCGTCTTTCAGAGAGACTCCACGAGACAACCGGCATTTTGATCCACCTCGGAGTCGTTCCAGTCGCGAAGCTGGGGTGATCAATCGGGAAGAAACGTTTGGAGCAACGGCAGTGAGTCGACTCGAGAGGTTTGGAGTAGCGGCAATCCTTCCTTTTAGCTTGAGCGAGCTCCTGGACCCGGTCTTTAATCGCGCTAGCTCGCTACTCCCGATAGCGTACCTGTTATACGCTGGTTGCGCCGGGAGCAAGAGCGCCGGGGCAGCCAATCCTGCCATTACCACGACCGCGACCACGATCGACGCCTACGCCACGTCCATTCCCTGCAAAATCTCGTGATTTCTAACGCCCTAGCATGGAACACCTTCTTACAGGGAATGCGCGCAACTCTCTCGCCAAGCCCTAACAACAATGTTCATGCCAGCCACGTGTCATAAGGTTCCAGCTTGGACGACACGTGTATCCAACGTGTCATGGCATTTTTGTAAACGCTGTCCTGAGATTCGGGCTTTTAGATCAAAGATTTTTTCTTGACAGCAACGGCGGCTGAATATTCGATGGGGACAGTGACGCGCGAATATTCGCGCTGGGGACCACGCACGATGGATGAATATTCACCACCCATTACCAATGAGAATATACTCACTGAGAGCAAATAAATCGTGGCGCCATAGAAAACGATTATAGCCCAAATCTGTGAACGAGAGTCGCACACAAAAACTATAGTCCCCAAACTAGAAAGGCGACAAAGCCTGGAGAAATACCGGCATGCCGTACAAAGATTCCACGGTCCGTACTGGGCCCGCATCATCACGAATATGCTTCTGCGCCGCGGCATATTCGGCGGGATAAGTATATGCTGCTCTTTTACGAAACGAATATTCGCTCGGCGACACACAAAAAGAGGGCGGGGGAGCGCGGTTTGGTGATTTTTTGTTGATGCTTTGCGCAGCGGCTGTAGGATTTTTGATCAATTGCGCGGATGGGCGTCACGGAGCTCCAGGCGAGGTGAGGCTCTAGGGGAGATCTTCCCGAAAATTCGATGCTATCATGTCTGGCATTTGTGGGAATGATCTTTCGGCTTCATTGTCCCACAGCGTCAAGGCGCTGGTGAGATCCGGGGGTGAATTCAACCAGGACAAGGCGTGCTCCACATTCTACTACGTTCCATCGTCGGGCGAGGCATCGGCGCATCTCTCCGCCTCCGGGCTTGGAAACGATCAAAAGCCGCGGTTGCGATGGACGCCGGAGCTGCATGATCAGTTTGTCAAGGCCGTGGCGCAGCTCGGTGGCCCCGAGAGTCCGTAGTTTTCTCTCTTCAGAGTTTTTACTTTGGTTTTTTACTAACCAAAAGAACGTTTGATTTCAGAAGCTACACCAAAGTCGGTCCTGAAGCTAATGGGCGTTCAAGGACTAACACTTTACCATCTCAAGAGCCATCTCCAGGTAAAAAAAATCTCGTTTTTCTGGAGGATTGGACGCAATTTTTCCTGTGATCGTAGAAGTATAGACTTGGAATGCAAATACCCCGACCCGAGACTAGCGGCGATGGTAAAAAAATCTCTTTTTCCCGCTTCTTGTCGTTGTTTCGAGCTCACAAGCAACAATTCATCAACAGGCAGGAGTAACTCCGAGGACAGCAGCAAACAACAAGAGTGAGCATTTAATTCATTGATCTTGGCCGATCTTGGAAAATCAAAACTTTGATGGTTTTCCACCAGGAGTTTGCCTCTCACGCAGATAATTGCGGTGCACGCGGAGGTCGAGAAGAAACTCCGGGAGCAGATGGAGGTAATGACTAAGTTCGTGGAGGATCCATTCTCATTTTGATTGGTGATTTTACACGATCCACGGACAGATCCAGCAGCAGCTACAGGCCCGGATCGACGAGCAATGCCAGCACCTGTACAAGCTGATGGAGAGCGCGAGCCCTCAGAAGAAATCGATCATGGCGGACCTGGAGGCCGCTCGAAAGCTCCAGCTCGACGGCATCATGGAGCTGTCCAAGATGTACTCGGGGCTCCAGAGCGCGGTGGAGCAGCACGGCAAGCTGGATCAAGCGACGAGCAACAACACCGCGGGGATCAAGAGGCGCCCCAGCGACGATGATCCCCAACGCCAGCTCGAGGAGGAGCAAGAGAGGGTGACGAAGTCGCTAGTGCAGTGGAAGAAGGAGCCAGTGTGGGATGACGACGAAGCGCAGCATGCATCAGGCTCCACTGCCGAGATCTCGACGGGGCTCAATCTCAGTAGCGGTCGCGGCTTAGACTTGAATGGCTAGCTAAGATAGAGCTCCACGAAAAAAGGGTGAACAAGTAAAAGCCCTAAAAGCGAGAGGAAATGATTCGATTCTCGAGAGCAAAAGAAAAAGATTCCATTTGGTGCGGTTCCACTGTCCCGGAAAGAAAGAAAAAAGATGCGGCAAAACTTTGTGAGATTCCTCTTGCTTATGTTAATTCCAGAGGATGAACTGTACGGATACGTTGATCTTTTTCTGCATGACAGTTACTGATTGCCGAAGGGAATTGACCTAAAGCCTGGATGGATTGAAGCGAATGCGACGAAGAGCCCATTCGTGCATTGCAATGACACAATGTTCGTTTGCAAGATAAGGTGGGGAGGGCCCAATCCCTAATAAACCCCTGGACTGCATCTATATCTACACCAAGAGAGGGACAAGACGCGAGCAAAAAGGTGTATTTATACTGACAATTTCTTGTCAATAGATTACATTAGTCTGGACATTTGGTGATTTACAAAGTGGTGGTTTTGGAATCTCTTGCGAATTGTTTGAGCGTAATGATAATGTTGAACTTGCATGATTGATGACCTGTAGGCGCACCAGAGGAGAAGCATGGGAGAACCTTCTGCCAAGAATTGCGTGGTTTGCGAGATTATATATATCCATCTTCCAATCCATGTCTATATGAATGAAGCCATAAAGGTGGCAGCGATCCACCATATGTCTGGATGGATCGAGAAGGTGGCGTACGAGGGTGAGAATCGTACTAGTGACAACGTTTTTAGGGTTATCGTCTATCGTGGCTTGTGTTTCTTGGTCTGGTTAACGAAAAAAGGGAAAAAAATGTTAAGATACATTTTGATATGTGGGAGGCTTTCCATCTCGCAAGCAACGTAATGCATTAAAGTTCAAAAGAGGAACTTAGCTTAATTGAAAAGCCACCGGCTGCGCCAGCCACGTGTCGGTGGGCACCAGTTTTTTTGTTAATAATTTTTTTCTTCGCCTTGTGTTCCGCCATAGCCATCGAGCTCGCTCCCTGCTTCGCGTCCCCGCATTTCACTTCGATTTCTCTCTCCAGCAGGCGGCGCATCAATCTCTACAGTGCAACGATCTGGATTTCGACCATTGAGCGTTCCATCGCAGGTCAAGGAGGGAATTCGCAGGAATTGGCGGGCATCTCCCCTTCCAGCAGGGGCGCCAGACTCTCGCAGGGGACGGTAGCAGCTTCAATTCTTGCGCTCCAAGGCTGGAATCTTGGGGCTAAGATCGCAAGAATTTCTAGATTACTGTAGCATTCTCGGAGCTTCCTCTTGGTTCTAGCGCCGTTCCCTCTTCGCTCTTTCTTCTTCTTCTTCTCCTTCCTCCTCCTTAATGTGTATCTCTGGAAAGCGAATTTCCAAGCGGTTAGGGTTCTAGCCTAGAGGATCGCGAACTCGCTCGCTCGCTCGCCTAGAAATTTTTCTGTTCCCTGGGATTTTTTTCTTCTTTTTTTCTCAATTTTTTCTCATTCGACAGGCGGTATACTATATCACAAAGATTATTAGTTGGCAAGGCCTTATCCAAATCTGTGATGTCCGTATCGCGCGTTTTGGGTTGTAGCGTCTACAGCCGAAATGCTGTATGAGGCTCTCAAGCAATCCACGACAAAGATGTCGCAACACCAAAGGCCGTCGCTTCCATCTCCTTCCCCGCATCATCACCAAGCGCTGTCCGATCCACAGAGAATTGCGAGCGGCTCTTCTCCCGGCGCTACGAGCTCTGGCGGCGGAGGAGGAGCAAGCAACAACGCCGTCTCGAATGCGGCGGCCGCCGCCGCTAAGCAGCGCCTCCGATGGACGCCGGACCTTCACGAGCGATTCGTAGAGGCTGTTGGGCAGCTGGGAGGAGCCGACAGTAAGTTTCTCTTAGATCTCCGCTCCGAAACACTGTTGTGTGTTGCTTTCGGTCAGGAGCTACTCCCAAGGGTGTTCTTCGCGTAATGGGCGTGCAAGGACTCACAATCTATCATGTCAAGAGTCATTTACAGGTAGGGGGTGATTGGTTTAGCTCGTTTTTTCTATCCTGTCCTCTGCCAGTGATCATGATCTCTGGTGTCTCCGCAGAAGTACCGACTTGCGAAGTACATACCAGATCCGATGGGCGATGGTAAGTGTTCAACTAGTTAGATTTTCTGACCGGTCTGCTTCCTGTGCTTGAATGCATGGGAATGGCCCCGAGGGAATCCAGTTTGGAATTAAACTATGTCTGACAGGGAAATCGGACAAAAGGAGGCACCCGGATTTGCCGAGTCTCGGAGGATCGTAAGTTGGTGAATGGGTTTTTTCATGTAAACTTGCTACAACTCCCCCTCTCCTCTCAACAGTGTTCAGATCAACGAGGCATTGCGTATGCAAATGGAGGTACAAAAGAGACTTCAGGAGCAGCTCGAGGTAAGCTCTTTTCCGTGCTTTTATGATTTCTTCTCCTCCCGCGAGGACAGAGGGACACCGACTTAATATGCCCTGGATGGAAAAACCTGAAACGCAGGTGCAACGGCACCTGCAATTGCGAATCGAAGCGCAAGGGAAGTACCTGCAGAAAATTATTGACGAGCAGAAGAAGATGAGTGGGGGTCTTGACAACCAGCCAGGTGCCAGTCCCGGATCGACGCAAGTTTTTAGCTCAGATATAACAGTCCAAGGCTCAGATCTCAAATACGAATTGACCGAGAGCGTACCAGGTCTGATGGATCCACCAGGAGGAGGGGGAGGTGGAGGTGGAGGAGGAGCTTTGCCAGCGATCACATCAGCGCTTTCGGCACTGGGATCAATGGCAGCTAACAACAGTTTGTCGCGAGAAAACTCGCCGGCGTCAGTCCCAAATCCTTTGGGAGCCAGTTACACTTTACTCAACAACAACAACAACAACAACAACAACATTAGGACCGATGACGCGGTAGTAGTATCACCGAGACACCAGGAATCAGTAGAAGAGTATCTCCATTCGAAATCTTTACAACAGCAGCAGCAACAGCAGTCTTACCTCCATTCGAGTTATTTGCAGTGTAACACAGCAGGTATGCTTTTCAATCCTGTTTCCAGGAATTAAGTTGGTTTCTGTTTTGGTGCAGGCAGGCTTCCATGACCACAAGACTGGCGAGAGTTTTCTGTAATATGTAGGAGCTCTATAGCCGCCGCAGCAAACGACTTTGTCCACTTTGGTACGATCGTTTCTTGCCGCTTGTTGAAAGAATTGAGACTTTTGTAACCGCGGTCCTGCTGTATTTTTTTTTTTTTCTTCTAGACTTCTAGAATGGGAGAACGAGAAAAATATTATATCGGAGAGAAAGCCTACCAAAAGTCGGCGCAAGCGCACGCTCCATCTTGAAAGTGGTGAAAGCGATGAGCATCTCTCACAGTGATCGCCCTCTTGGCGATCCGGGACATGAACTTCGTGGCGGTGTGGCAGTCGGTGCACATCCGCAAGTTCTTCACCACGAAGAGAGGATCGCTCCTCCCGCGAGTGCTGATCATCCCAAACACCACCGCCAGCTTCTCGCTGTGGAAGCTCAGCGATTGCTCCTTCTCCTCGTCGTCGAAGTCGTGGAGTACGTTGCTCGTATCGGGTACGTATCCGGCCTCTCTCATCTTTGCATTGAAACTGTGGAGCTCGTCCAGGATCGCGCTGATTTCGGGGTGGTTTTTCCCTCCCGCCACGAACTCGTGAGCTCTACCTTTGATCGTGATGCTACTTAGACCCGCGGGCTTTCTTAAACGCCTGGCGTCCATAGCCTTCCTCACGGAAATCCCATCGCCGTGCTTACCAGCGGCATCGTAGAGCCTTGAGAGTAGCACGTACGGAGAGGAGCACACCGGGTTGGCATTTGTGGCCCGGTGGGCGAGCCTGGCGCCACGGCCCACGTCTCCGTACGTACGGCAGCCCGCGAGGAGGGACTTCCACGCGGTGTATTCCGGCTGGAATGGCATGGCGTCCAGGAGATCCTCGCCGTCCATCAGTTGGCCCGTTCTGGCCAGAAGATCCACCATGCATGTGTAGTGGGCCGCGTGTGGAGCGAGCGCGAAATCTCCGACCAGCGAGAGGAAGTAGCGGTGCCCGAGATCGAGGAGGCCGGCGTGGCTGCAGGCGCTGACGATCGAGACGAATGTGACGGCGTCGGGATGGATCCCGGAGAGAATCGCGCGCTGGAAGAGATCGGCAGCTTCGCTGGCGCGGCCGCTCTGGGCGTAGGCGCCCAGCATCGCGTTGAGGAGGATCGCGTCGCAGAAGGCCATGGCGTCGAAGAGCGATCGCGCTTCGTCCAGGCGGCCGCATTTGGCGTAGAAGTTCACGAGCGCGGTGGCGAGGCTGGCCTCGACGAAGACGCTCTGGCTTGCAAGGAGGAGCTCTTCGTGGAGAAGTTTTCCCTCGCGCAGCGCCGTGAGGATCGTGCACGCATCCAGCGCGCTCACGAAGCTGATCCCGTCGGGGTGGATCCCTTCCAGATCCATGCCCGCGAAGATCCCCAGCGCCTGGCGAGCGTGGCCGTTCTGGGAGAACGCCGCCAGGAGCGCGTTCCAGGAGATCACGTCGCGCAGATCCCCGGCGCTGTCGAAGAGATCCTTGGCGCGAGCAATCTCGCCGTGGAGGCCATAGGCCGCGATCATCGCATTCACCGCTGCCGCGTCCTTGATCGGGATCGCCTCGAACAGATCCCGGGCCTCTTGCAAGAAGCCGCTGTGGGCGAAGGCGGTGACGATCGCTGTCCAGATCACTACGTCCGTGAGCGGCATCCGCTTGAAGAGATCCCACGCCCGGTGGAGATCGCCGCTGTGGACGCAGCCCTGGATCATCGCGATCCAGGATACCATGTCCCGGAAGGGCAGCGCCTGGAAGAGCTCAAGCGCGTCGGGGAGGCGATGGTTGCGACCCATCCCCGAGATCAAGGCGTTCCAGCACACCTCGTTCCACTGCGGCATCAAACCAAAGAGCTCGGTTGCGTTGTCAAGATGCCCGGCTTGGGCATATCCTGCAACCATGGTATTCCACGTCACCACGTTTCGTACGGGCGCCCGGTCAAAGATCTCTCGCGCGTGGGTACACAGGCATCTCTGTGTGTAACCCGCGATTAGCACATTCCACGTCGCTGCGTCGCGGATTTTCATGGTATTGAAGAGATTCCTTGCCTTGGCCAAGTTCCCCTGGCGGGCAAATGCTGAGATCAAGGTGTTATACGACACGGTGTTCTTGTACGGCATCTCGTCAAAGAAAAGCTTTGCATCTCGAAAGCTTCCATAGCGGGCGTAGGCAGAGAGCATCCCATTCCACGAGACGACGTCCTTGTTTGGCGTCCAATCGAAAGTTCTTGCTGCGAGAGCCAGATGCCCGTTCTGGGCATATGCTGCGACCATGACATTGTGAGAGAATGCGGTCGGGTTCCGGATAGAATCGAAGCAGGCGACGGCGTCGGCCACGCAGCCGCATCGTCCGTACATCTGCACGAGTAATGTGCCCAGCAGGGTGTGGCGATCCGAGCCAAGCCGCCGGAGTTCCGAGTGGATGCGCTTGCCATTGGCGAGATCCCTGGACAGGCAGCACTGGCGAAGCGGCGACGCATATATCGATTCATCGCGGTGGCTGGATTCCTTGCAGAAAGATCGCCGAGCGATGTCCCGGCATTTCATCTACATCCTCGCCATAGTAGAACGCCACGTCAGATGGCACATCAGCTAAATTTACTGGTGATGTGGCATGCCACGTTTTAGTTTTTGCTTAGTCATTAGAGGTTCATGTCATTAGGGTGCGGTGTAGGATAGAGCATGGCGATGGCCACTACTACGGCTGGGGCGATGGCTTGCACGATGCCCCAAGCGCGGCATTACAATGCCGCTGGAATTTGTGGTAGAGTAGCCGCTCCTAGGGCTTGTCCACGGCCGATTTCGCGATCTCACGCTCTCGGAAGCACCAGCGCTGGAGGATTTCGGCCTCTCAGAGCAGTTGCGACTGCGGATCCAGCGGCTTCTTCTTCCCCATCGTCGGCAGTGCAACAGGTTCGTGATTTCTAGATTGATGGAAGAAAGCAAACACGAAATTGTGATTCCAGAAGAAGCAGTATCACTTCTTGCTGGCCAACGCGAAGTTCATGCTGGACGAGGAGGAGCATTTGCAGGAGCTCTTGAGAGAGCGCCTCCGGAACTACGACGAGCGTAACAAGGAGCAAGATTTCTGGCTGGTGATAGAGCCCAAGTTCGTGGAGAAATTCCCAGAGATGTCGGCTCGGCTCAACCGGCCCGCTGTGGCTCTCGTCTCCACTGACCCCGTCTGGATCACGTAAGTTCTTCTACGCTAGTTTTTCTTTCGCTCTCCTCTCTAATCAATCGATCTTCGTGGATTGGATTGGATTCATGGAGCACAGATTCATGAAGCTCAGGATCGATCGCGTCTTGAAGGGCGTGATCGAGGCGGAAAGCTTGTCGGAAGTGGCGGAATCGAATCCAATCGACGTCCAGTTCGATCGGCCGGACAAATGGACAGCGCCATATCCAAAGTATGAGACTGGATGGTGGACTCCATTTTTGCCCCCAAAGTAAATGCGGGAGAATATTCCGCGAACGTTTTCACTCGCATATGCTCCAGAATCTTGCCTTGTAGCATATACTCTAGAATCTTGCGACACGTGTATCAATGACATTGCAACGTTTAGGCTAAATATCCACAAAGCAATTTGGGCGGGGCGATTTTTCCAGTTCGCGCGCGAGCGCGGCAAGCGATTTGTCGGAATCGAACCCTGATTTTCAGTTTGTCTTTCTTGCTGGGGCGGCGCTCGTGGTTCCTCGCGATTGATCGATCCATCCATCGTCCATCGGCCACCAGGTTAGTTTTTTAGGTCTTCCATCCATCTGCGCCATCTTCTTGCACAGTGGAATCAAAAGGATTTCCTCTCTTTTCTTTCCTTTCTTCCTTTTTTTCTCGGTCTCTTGGGATGATTAGGACAGGGTTTTACTTTTGACCGTGATAGCATTTTCTTTTGTGGGTCGATCCATCCGTTCTACGGCACTGTAAAGTCATTTAGTCAGAAGAGAGCTAAAAAATCGTTTTTTTTTTGTTCTTTGCTAGGCTGCATTCGATCTATAGCACTGTTTAGTCAGAAGAGAGCTATAAAATTTGTTCTTTGTTAGGCAGAAGGAGAGAAGTATGCATTCAAATAGTCTTCTCAAGGCGGCACTCAAGCACAGGAATCTGCCACCCAACGTAATAGCAAAGCGAGAGAACGAGGTTTCTGACGGGGAAGGCTCTGCAAACTCGCCCTCTCAACCGGCGGTGAAGAAGGCCGCCATCGCCGCTCCTCCTCCGCCTCCTCCGGTGGTCAAGAGATCCTGCCTTTGCGCGCCGACGAGCCATCCCGGATCGTTTCGCTGCCGCTTCCACCGCTCCAGGCAGAGGCAATGGGCTGGGAGGCCTCTCAGCTCCGCGATCAAGACATTGCCAAGGCCGAGCACCAGCGAAGGCGTGTTGTCATCATCGTCCAGCACCGCCACCACCACCACCACCACCACCACCACCAGCAGTAGCAAAGGGGCTGTTCTTCCTTTTAAGAAGTTCGTCCCGGTGCGAAGCAGCATTAGTGCGCATGAGACAACGAGGCCGAGCAGGCTGAGTCGAATGGAAGTTGCTGCTTCAGTAAGTTCCAACTCTGAGACAAGTGCTTCTCGGTGAGTTTTTCCTTGTCTAGAGTTTTCTCATTATCTTTCGGATGCACATGTGTTCTTTCGAATCACGTTGGATAGTTTCTCAAGGTTGTGCGAATTGCGAATGCAGGTGTAGCACACCCGGAAGCTGCAATTTGGATGCGACGGTGTCACAACTGGAGCAGATCGTCAAGGATGAAGGTGAGTTTTACGTTCTTTTTTCGTGTCTTGAGTTTGATCCAGAACGAGAGAATGTTTTTGTGAGATTCAGGGAGCGCCGAGAAGGTTCAGGATGTGGTTGAAATCACGAGCAATACTGCAGTCCTCGAAGACGACTACAAATGTGCCTTGCGAGTCATTCAAATCTCCCAGACCGCCTCCGAGTTTGCTACGGACCATCCAGTAAGAAACTGACAGCCGTGGTTTTAGCTCAACTTGTTCTCTTCATTCTTCTTTTTTTTTCCCCTTCTCTCAGGTTGAAGTAGCCAGCTTGTGAGCTCTGATTCTTCCTTTAGTGTACATACAATCTTCATAAATACATAAAAAAGTATTCGGTGAGCATGTAGTTATTCTCAAGTTTAATCAACGCTTTCAAAGAAACAATTCATACAAATTTTATCATACAAATTTTATTGATCGTAGTTGTGCGCACAATTCTATCCGCTGTTTACGAGGGCTAGCAGCAGCGCGAGAAGAACAAGGAGGAGGCGAGTAATCTGCGTTGGATCGGGAAGCTGTGGAGCGCAAGCTAGCAGCTGATTTATCACAGTGGTGAGCAAGGGAAGACTGGATGCACCGACAGGAGCCAGATTTCCCGAAAGTAATGCGAGCAGGATGCTCGAGAGCTGTTGCACCAGCGCCGAGATTGATCCTCCATTCAGGAAGGACTGCAAGATGGGGAGCACATTCGCAGTGAGAGACTCGTCGGCTCCGCCAACTGTGAGGAGGAGATCCTGGAGGGCTGCTGTCGAGCAATTGCCTGAAGTCGGACTTGGTGCTGCCATAGTTCACACTTAAGCTTAAAGAAAAGAAAGAGAGAAAAGAGCTGCAAACCTGTCTGCGCAACGGATGAATTGATCATATACACCAGAACTACAAGAACCATAGTCATTACTCGCGCCATTTGGGGTTGATGTTGGAGCAATCCGAGCAGCAATTTATATAGAGCTCCTTTCAAGATTCTTGCTTGTTATGGACACCAGTGTTGAATGGATGAGTGTACTGCTCACTTGCAGCAGCAGCTCAGCTAATAGTTTCCCGATTTCAGAACGAGATTCTCAAAGGCTCGAAGTATGAGAAGGAAGCTTTCTTCTGTGCTTTGAGAATACATTAGGACATTGAAGTTTACTAATGAAATAGTTAATTTAGATATTGTATACATTTAATTATATTATTTCGTGATAGAACACTCATCCATTTGACGGACTTCTGGATGTTTGGAATCAAGCAATTTATATTAGAGCACTCAAACACTTTTCTTTCTTTTCGTGCGTGACTCAAGATTTTGAAAAGCTTTATGTGGCAGTAGCAAGCCTGAGTTCGGAGCTGATGAGCCCTTCACTAAGCTTCTTGCTTACATTCCTTTTTGGGAGGTTTTGCTCCTAGTGTTCCCTTGATCACCACTGCTGTAAATCAGTTGTTAACTGTTGTAAATTAGTTACTAGCTTCATTGTGGATTTGTTAAGATCTTATCCCTTACACCCTAAACCAACTGGTTAAAGGGGTGATGACTTGATTGTAAGGCTTTTTCTTTATCCTATTATCCTGACCTGGTGCCTAACAGGATCCAACACAAATTGCTCACCTCCTTATTCTTTTTGTGCTGCTGCTAGCCTTAGTAAAGAGCAGAGAGAGTTATGACACTTCTCCATAAATATTTTATTTAGATTTACGTTGGTGCAGCTTTATTGATTTGCTTGTGTACTGTGGACTTCTAGTTCTGCAAAATCTAATCATTTGTATCTACCAGTTTAGTTTAGCCATGAGTTTTTCTCATGGTAACATCTACCAGAGCAACGGTAGCAAGTACAACCCAGCTCTGCCTGGCAGTGATGAATTCTTAGAAGCAGCAGCACTGGGCCAATAACATTCGCTATGATCAATAACAACATATCAACCCCAAGTTCTTCAACAAAAACTTGGGAAATTTTTACCTTTGGTGTTACTTCAATAAGGGTAAAATATATTAGGCATTAAACTTTACATGTTTTTGGATAATTTTATCCGCTCTTTACGATGGCCAGCAGCAGAGCAAGAAGAACAATTACGAGGCGAGTAATCTGTGTTAGATCCGCAATCTGTGAAGCACAAGCTAGCAGCTGCTTTACAGCAGTGGTGATCAAAGGAACACTGGATGGACTGACAGGGGCCGAACCTCCTAACAGGAATGCAAGCAGGAAGCGTAACAGCTGTTTCAACAACGCAGCTATTGATCCTCCATTCAGGAAGGTCTGCAAGATGGGGAGCACATTCATAGTGAGGGACTCATCAGCTCCGCCGGCCATGAGAAGGAGATCTTGGAGGGCTGCTGTCGAACAATTGCCTGAACCTGAACTTGGTGCTGCCATAGTCAACCCTTTTCAAAATCTCGCCGAGTTGCGACAAACAGAAGGAAAAGCGAATTGTTTGAGTAGCAAACCTGGGCTCGTCCCAGCAGCAGATGAATCGACCATGTACATCAGAGTTATAAGAGCCAGTGTTGACAAGAATACTGGGGAAGAGAGCGCCATTGCTTGGGTTTAGATGTTTGGAGCGATCAAGCAATTTATATTCGGCACGCTCCTAGGAGAGAGTGTTAAGTTGTTGCCAAACACGTTGAAATAATTGGTTTGAAGGTAGGTTTATCTCAATGTAATTAGTTTTTACAACCCCCGTTTGTTTAAACGCGGTTGAGTGTAAATTAGGGCAACAGTTCTTCTCCCTTTTGTTTGCCTTGTGGTTTCCATTTTGGCGAGAATGAGCAGGAAGCCCGGGGATTGGGACTGCCCCTTCTGCGACCATCTCAATTTCAGCCGCCGCGATTCCTGCCAGCGCTGCGGCGAGCCACGCCCCATGTCCGAGCGGCCCCGCGATGTGGAGTTCATCGGCAACAGCAGCGGCGGCGGCGGCGGCGGCGGCATGAGGGGTGGATCTTACGGCTTTGGCGGCGGCGGGGGCGGCGGCCGCTCCTCCCTGGCCGGATTCCCGGCCGAGGATGTGAGGCCCGGGGATTGGTACTGCGTCGAGTGCAATGCGCACAATTTCGCGAGCAGGACGGGGTGCTACAAGTGTGGCGCGTTCCGCGACCACGACGGCGAAGTGGGCATCGATCGCAGGTTCGATCCTTCCTCGGACCGCCGAGACTCGTCCTCGTCCTTCTCATCCAGGAGGTATTTTACCTCGCCTTCTTCCTCGGCCTCCTCGTATGCTAGCGCCGGTGCCGGGGGTGGTGGTGGCGGCGGCGGCTTTGGCAGGTCCGTGTGGAAGTCGGGGGACTGGATATGCCCGAGGTACTTCTCTTCACAAAACTCTCTTTTGCCAGGATTCTTTATCTTTCGAGAGAAAGGTTCTCCTTTTTCTCTCTCTCTCTTCTTTTTTCTCTTTGCTACAGTTTCTTTGTTTCTCCGTTTTGTTTGGCTATGGAACTGGCATTTTCTTTCGTGAATTGATGCTTCAATGGAGGCTGACAAGGCTTTCTTTGGATTTTGCCAGAACCGGCTGCAAAGAGCACAACTTCGCCAACAGGGTCGAGTGCTTTAGGTGCAATGCTCGTCGCGAGCCAGGTGAGTTGGAAAAAAAACCGACTTTGTTTCTTTTCTCTTGTCGTTGCTGATGGATCCCTCGTCGTACAGGCATGTAAATTTGATAACAATTCCAACACGGATGTGATTTGTCCCGGCAGCCGCATTTGTGTCTCTCTCGTCCAGCATCGAGAAGAAGGTGAAACTCCGTTACCAAGAAGACTAGAGGTAATAGTAGTCGCTGAGCATGACTCTTTGCTGGAGATCGTCCTCGTAAAACCTCCTCCCCTCCTCAGTCTCTAGCAGCTTGTCCAGGTTCTCTTTGTTCTGTTTTATTCTTTTGTCCATGTACTCCCAGGCTTCGTCGCTCACGCGTTGGACCTGGGAGAGACAAGAAATATATATGAGCTTGTGATTGATCAACACGAGTATCTCGAGTACCTGTCGTGGCTTTGGCGCACCGAATGTTGCGTATCCAACATTTCCAGGATAATAACTTGCTCTTCCAGGAAGAGAAGCACCATAAATCCCCCAACGGCCTTCATAAATAAGCGCATCGTATTCGTCCACTGGATAGACAACAGGCTGCAATCCAATCCAAATAGTAATTATCCATAAGAAAAAAGAAGAAAAAACAAACTTCTCGTACCTGGGGAATTCGTGGTGATTTGTTGAAAACCTCCCACATATCTGCAGCTTGAAGCTCTGTTTTCTCCATAAGTCGGTCTACGAAAAGAACCAACTTACGAGCTTGAGCAACAAAGAAAACATAAAAAAGTAAGGAAATGCATTACCTGCCATGGTTTCTAGAGCAGACCGATACTCCAAGAGCACCGACGTGCACTTCTCAATGGCGTATCTCATGTATTCATCTCGTAGCGCTTGAATTTTTGGATTCAGCTGCAAGAAGTTCTCCGTTGTTAAGCCATGATTAGAGCAAGCAGGTCCTCTTACATGAACCAGGACGTCCTTTCTCGTTTTGTAGTATGTCTTGCCCAAGGCAGTGAAACCCGTCTGAAAGATTAGCCGATCAATGAGAGCTCCAGCTTGGCCAAGAAAAGATCCTGATAACCAAGAGGTATTGTCTCTGCCAAAAATCAGCTCTTCTACAATTCTGGCTGCGGGTTCATCAAAGTGAGCAATAAATTTGATGGACGAATGGAAGGAAACTTACGAGCACATAGTCGGACAGCAGCATCTACATACTCTTGCTTCTTTGAGTAAACAAAATCCGGGGGCTCCGCGTATTGCATGTTAACAGTGGTATCCATTTTACGGATGTTAGTCTGAAGCAAAAAAAGTAACATTATTCCTGGAGATAAAACGGCAATATACCTTTATGAATGGAGTATGAGGATTCGGGAAGTAGCAGTCAAGTACAGCAACAGCAGCTTCTCGATACGCTAACCTAGTGCGAGCTTCGCCAGTTTGATCTAGCACGTCTTCCTGGCCAGTAGCAAAAGACCCTCCTTGCTGCAGGAGAAAAGAATTCAGCACGGCAACTAAAATGCTCGTGGCAGGAAACGTACTCTACTTATTGCTTCTTCGAGTTCCGCTTTTTCAATGAATTCCTTGTCATGCCGTATTGCTAGAATGACTGCCTCGTTTCTGTAAGACTAGAAAGAGTGAGAACACAAGTGGCTGTGCAACTTACAGAATATTAGCTAGTTCCGCTCCACTAAAACGGTTGGTCAATTTGGTAATATCTTTCAGCAATCTGAGCTTCTCTTCCTCCGACTTAAACGGTTTGTTTTTAGCATGAACCTGATGCACGAACAGTAAGTAGCGATGGATAAAACTTGGCGAGAAAAGTAAACCTTTAAAATTTCTAATCTTCCTGCTTCTGAAGGAAGCCCCACTGCCATGATTTTGTCAAACCGTCCTTTTCTCAGGAGAGCTGCATCAAGCATATCAAGCCTGTTGGTCGCTCCGATGACCAGCACCTGGACAAACATTTGTAATCAGTGCCGGATTCATAACTGCAAGTAACGTAAGATACGCACTCTTGATGACGTGAGGCCGCTCTGAAATCCATCAAGCTCGGTTAGCATTTGTATAAGGCCCTGCTCACGCTCCCTACCTCCCTGCACTTCAAGAGTGAACAACTCATCAAGTAATAGAAGACGGCCTACGTACCCCTCCAACATCATAGTTTCCACGCTTTCCACCAATAGCATCAATTTCATCAATGAAAATGATTGATGGAGCAAAGTTTCTTGCTCTGGAGAACAGATCTTGCACACGAGCTGCGGCAACCCCGGCATACATCTAGAGTGTGACCGCAAGTTTCGGTTAACAAGACATGATACGAAATATATGGAAAGCTTACCTCAACGAACTCGGCACCACCAACAGAAAAGAACGGTAGTCCAGCCTCGCCAGCAATTGCTCTAGCTAACAATGTCTTGCCAGTCCCTGGAGGCCCATGCAGCAGCACGCCTTTGGGAACATAGACCGTAGGATCTTCTTTGCTTTCCTTGAGCAACTTCACAACTTCTTGAAGCTCAGCCTTGATATAATCCTGTCCGGCAAAGTCGTCAAAAGTTACGCCTGTTTTCTCCTCGGCCGAGAGAAATCTTGCTCTGGAAATTCAAAGAAAGACTACTAGATCAGAACCAAAAGATTCACTGCTTGATTTACCTGCTCTCACCAAGTGCGCCAAGCACGTAGTTACCAGCTGTGAGATCGCGCTCTACATTCCATCCGCGATCTAAAGGATCTCTAAACCTGGTGAAGTAAGACAAGGACCACTTGAGAAAGAAAAAGACCGATGCTGCCAGTGCCACCCGCATCCCCCAAACGGTGACGATTTTAGCCTGTGGATAGAGCTGGTTCGCTATGGTGTTCGTCTTGATCACTTTTATGTCCTTGAGCTGCGGATGGAGAAGCTTCCAAACGTCGCTCATGCAATCACCCGGCATTTTGTCAACCCAGTGCCGCCTGTAGACGACGGGCCTTTGCTCTACGACTGTCACTCCATCTTTGACAACAAGCTTTCGAGCAGGCTCGTCGGCGGCCTTTCCGTCCACAAAATGTGGCAGTAGAACTGGCGAAATGAAAAGCTTGCAAGTAAGCCAAGTGAAGAGACACAATGCTACGCAAACACTTACCAGCAATGTGCTGCCCGTAATTCGCGTACTCGACGTACTCCACCTTTCCTGCTTCCAAGAGCTTCCAGAATTTGCTAAAAGCAATGTTTTGCCCGGGCTCGGGATCCAAGTGTGTTCCCCTGAGAGCGCCTGAGAGCCGCTTGTGAAAAGTTCTCCATAACTCGAGCTGTTCTTGTTCGCGGTCGATCTGAAGTGCTACTTTCCTGTCCATTTCCAGCTGCTTGTCAATCCTTTCCTTCTCTGCCTCGGATACTTTCTAAGAAACACACAAAAAGAAACCAGAGCTAAGTATACAGAGTCTTGTGAGAAAAAAATTTAATACCTTGAAGATTTCTTGCAATCTCTCCTGTTCATCGACCGCGTTTTGAGGCTCTGCCAGCGGCTTAGAACTCAGATTCTGGCCCAGCCAGGCCATTTTGCTAGCCGCAAGCCCCTCTTTCTTGAGGGGCATCAAATGCCCTCTCCCAACGGGCAATTGATCTGCCATACCTCGACACGGCAGCGCATTTGGCATCGAAAATCTCCGGATCGCATCGACGCTCCTCCGCCCGTCATGGCGCATCCGCCACAGGCAGTAGTCGCCCATGGCTCTAAAACCTTATCCCCATTTGAAATTTTTAGGGTTCTTGAGCTAGGGTTTTAGCGAAAGAGGAGAGCAATGCACAAGGACACGATCTTGAAGCTTGCCAGGGGATTCCGGGGCCGCGCCAAGAACTGCATCCGAATCGCCCGCGAGCGCGTCGAGAAGGCGCTGCAGTATGCGTATCGCGATCGGCGCAGCAAAAAGAGGGACATGCGTAGCCTGTGGATCATGAGGATCAATGCGGGCGCGCGGATCTATGGGGTAAGCTCTCACATTCTCGTTTTGAGAGATTTTTTCGAGAGGTTCATCGCTGGTCTCGCAGCTGAGGTACAGTAATTTCATGCACGGCCTCAATCGCGAGAACATCCAGCTCAATCGCAAGGTTCTTTCCGAGATCGCGATGAACGAGCCTTACTCCTTCAAATGCTTGGCCGATATCAGCGATCAAGCCATCAAGGCCAAGGCCGCCGCTGCCAGGCCCAAGCTTGTCCCTTGAGAAAAAAAAGGAAAGGAAAACGAACTATTTGGCCCCAAGAATTTTAGGGTTCTTCGTCTTCTCCAGGGTTTGGATCGATGAGTGGCGGTACGCTATCGGATGTCTACCAGCAAGCTCGCGTCTCCCTCTTCAAAGTACGCGATGGTTTGGAGAGGCTAGAGCGCTTAGAATGCTCCACCAGTAGCAGTAGCAGTAGCCCCCGCGATGGAACTCTCTCCGGATCCGAGATCACCCAGTCAGTGAAGCGTGATCTAGGCCAGCTCCAGAAGTATAGCGAGGAACTCGATCAACTGTGGCGGCTCCAGCTCCAGAAATCTCAGCGAGACTTGTGGAAACGGTGAGTTTTAGATCTCTTTCTTGGTTTGTACTTGATCTTGCTGTGGATCGATAGGAAAGTAGAACAGGTCCTTGAGGAAGCTGATTCCTTGAGGCTTGGACTGGAAAAGTATCTTGGTCGCCAGCATCGACGTCAGATAGAGGCGCAAGAGCGAGCAGATCTTTTCAGGAGAATGGTTGGTCACTTGTGATTCTTGTCATCTATAAACTCGTTTGGTGGCTTTCTTAGAATGGAGACTCGGCACAAGTGCTCCAAATCTTTGACGATGAGCAGCAAGCTATGCGATCCTTGCAACGCTCGTCCAATATGCTCGAGGAAGCCATGGCCGCTGGAGTGGCAGTTCTTTCGAAGTATAGTGTCCAGCGTGACCGTTTAAAGGTAAGCGCACGTTTTTGGACTTCGAGAGAAGCGTGTAAATAATTGTTGGCGTGTGTTGTTGCAGAGTGCTCAGCGTAAGGCATTGGACATTCTCACAACGGTGGGATTATCCAACGCTGTTTTGAGAGTTATCGAGAAGAGACATCGCATTGACAAGTGGATATCCTACACGGGAATGATCGTAACGATTGTTGTGGTCATTGCGGTGTGGATGTGGGTACGCTGAGCCGATAATATACGAGGGTGCCATTTATAATACTCGTTTTTTTTTCCCAAAGGTTTCTTTGTTTTGTTTGTTTGGTTTTGTCACTTCTAGGTGCGATAATAAGATGGCTCCATTAAGACGTCGATATGAAAGTGCAGTATCCATCGAGGTAAAGTCGTCTCGACGATGAATCAGTTTTATCTATCCAGGCTAACTAAAGTTTTGTAGGACAAGTCCTTGCCAGATGGAGATGGCCAGGAGCATTAAATTGAAACTCGGCAGTCATCGTCGAGAACAAACTTGTGGGGAGCTGGCTTCTAATAATCTCGTGGCCCATTTCACTGAGATGTGAGGTCCATCGTGGTTACAGCGAAAGCTGGCCGAACGGACTTCACTCCGTGGGTTGCGAAGTCTTTGAAACCGTGGGGACCGGTGCTGCCATTGCCATAATTTCGAACGAATGGTCGGGTGGCTTTCATCTGAGAAGTTTTCTCAGCGAGAACAGTGATAGCAGCAAAAGTGATTGGAACAGGCAGGTTCATTATCACCATGCAACCGAGGCTCCTCCTCACGACACTTTTTTCCCTTTGGCCACTATTGCTTCTGCCACTGTGCTACTGGAGGAGAAGACTGCAACGAAGTGTGGGCTGCCTGCGGTCACAGCTATAGAAGGGATTATCCGAGAGGCGGGAATCTTGAGCTGCAGCTGGGAAAAAGAGATATTCAGCATTTTTACATTAGTTTTCGCTCGGATTGTCCTGCGTACTTGGAGAATCCAGCTACCGGAATGCCATCAGAATCAGAAGAAATGTTTTTAAACGACTGGGTGGAGCGGTGCCGTGCTGCCGCGGGGACAAAATAGTTCATAGCAGGTTGGCAGTACAAAAACAAGGGGACAATAGGAGGAGGAATGGCTACTCGGGTGACGATCGGGAAGCTTGTCCTTGAGCGGGGATTCCTTTTACCAATCGCTTTCAACGGGACAGTCCACAGTTTGGTCCATCCCTTGCTCCTCCGTTATCCGGCTCCGTTTATGCAGTGAGGAGTGGTGCTGCTCGAGCTATGTATGGAAACTGGCCTCTTCCACCGCCACAGATTTTGCTGCTCGCTGGCCTCCGTCGCTACTTAGCTGCTGTGCTGCGTCGTCGACACTCCCGACAGTCTTTTCGATTGCTCAAGGCTTCCAGACATGCTCGCTGGTGATTTCAGGACATCGGATCGAGAAGCTCGGATGCAGTAGTGGACAGGCAGTGAAGCAGAATGAACGACGATCGGTCTACAAGCTCCGAGGATGGAGACAAGCTTGCGGGGAAATTCAGACGGGTTTCTTCCTCGGACTTGGAGTTCCGGGCCAGCGGGAAGAGCAATGTTCATAGGCTATACAAGCAGGAGCAGGACAAGTCAAAGCAGATGAAATTGGGAAGCAAGGTTGATGGCTTTGAGAGGCAAGGACAAGCATGGTACGTATTTTCTGGCTTTCAGTTTTGCATCGCTTGGATAGAATGAAGCCGCATAGCCACACATAAATTCGGAAAGAAACTTTGCCATAATAATTGCCGGGTGCCTGGTTTCTGGTAGTTTCTTGCATTGATCTAGACCGTATTCATACTCGTTTCCCTGATAATTTTTGCTATGGATTTCACCAGGTTTGTGGCTACGGAGCTACAGAGCGACCTGGTGGTACAAGTAGATGATCTCAAATTTCATCTTCACAAGGTAAGCAGTAAAGAAAGAAAGCCGAGAATTGTGAGCTTACTTGTTGTTTTTGTAGTTTCCTCTTCTGTCCCGGAGCGGTCGTCTGAACCGGCTAGTGTTTGAGTCCCGAGACACTGAAAAGGACCATATTGATCTTACTGGGATACCAGGAGGCCCGGACTCTTTTGAACTTGCGGCCAAGTTCTGCTATGGAATGGCGATTGACCTCACGGCAGCCAATGTAGCAGGACTGAGATGCGCCGCAGAGTACCTGGAAATGACTGAAGACCTTGAGGAGGGGAATCTTATCTCGAAAACCGAGGCGTTTCTGAGCTTTATGGTACTGGGGTCGTGGAAGGATTCTCTTACAGTGCTCAAGTGCTGCGAAAAACTTTCACCTTGGAGTGAAAACCTCCAGCTGGTCCGGCGCTGCAGTGAATCAATTGCGTGGAAGGCCTGCACAGATACGAGAGGCATCAACTGGTCCACCATCGGAAAGGAATCCTCGAGCAGGAAGAGCGACAGTCCAGAGTCGAACGAGATGAGAAGCTCGGAGGATTCTAAGAGTGTTCCGGCGGACTGGTGGTTTGAGGACCTGCTGACGCTCTCAGTCGACCATTTTCTCAAGGTGATCGCTGCTATCAAGGTGAAAGGCATGAGGTCCGATTTACTTGGAGCCGTGGTTACGTCTTACGTGCTAAAGTGGGTGCCGGGGTTGTCGAGAGACACTGGCTATTTCAACGCCGAGAACAACATACACATGACAGCCTCCACAGGACAGGACGATTTTACAGTGCTCCAGAACAAGACTCAGAAGCTGCTCGAGAACATCGTGGGAATTCTTCCGCTCCAGCAAGACACGGTCTCGTGTAGCTTTTTGCTCCGGCTGCTCCGAATCGCAAACATGCACGGGACGAGCACCGCGTGCAGGGCGGAGCTGGAGAAGCGGGTTGGCATGCAACTGGAGAACGCCTCTCTCGCCGACTTGCTCGTCCCGTCCTTCCTCCACACTTGCGAGACACTCTACGACGTGGATCTCATGCAAAGGCTGCTGCAGTACTTTTTGCTCCAAGAGCAAGTAACTCAGGCCAGCCCTTCGACTCTGGAGCAGCAGCTGGGCTTCGATGGAGCCATGAGAAGTGCCAAAGTTAAAGTGGCAAAGCTACTTGACGGCTACCTCTCAGAAGTGGCACGAGATCAGAACCTCTCTCTGGCAAAGTTCCAGGCGCTCGTGGAAGCTTTTCCAGATTCAGTCCGCACTAGTGACGATGGACTGTACAAGGCGATCGACACTTACCTGAAGGTTTTCTTTTCCACGGGTATTTTCGGTTTAACAACCAAACTTCTTCCTGTTTTTACAGGTTCATCCAGGCTTGACCGAACTCGAACGCAAGCGACTCTGTCGCGGGATGGACTGCCAGAGGCTTTCGTCGGATGCGTGCTTGCACGCTTCACAAAACGAACGCCTCCCACTCAGAGTTGTGGTCCAGGTGCTGTTTAGCGAACAAGTGAAGCTTAAGAACGCTCTAAGCCCCGTGTTTGGGAAGGACATGGACGGGTGGGACAATCCGCAGCAGGGCGATGGCTTCCATCCTCTCGTCAGCGATAGCTGGGCACAGGAACTGAAGGCGGTGAAAGCCGATTTGGAGCAAGTGAAAGAGAAGCTTGCCGAGTTCCAAAGCGAGTACTCGCTCGTGAGGCAGCAGCTCCAGAAATTACTTGGGCCAAAGGAGAAAAACCAGCATTCGTCTTCGTCCTCTTCGTGGAGTATGGGGTGGAAGAAGCTGAGACGAGCCTCCAACTTGTTCCACAGGGACGGCATGGATGATCCAGAGCAGCGGCCAAGCTACGTCGTGCAAAAGGACGCCATTGACAACGTAGCCAAGCCTCGACTTCGTAGGAACTCCCTTTCGTAAAGAGACAACAACTTGTTTTTTCGAGGAAAAGCACCTCATGGACCAGCTATAAATTTTAAAACTTCAGGGAAACTGGAGTCCATCTTTTAAACTTAAAATGCAATATCATTTAATGGCTTTAAACTTCAGTGGCATTTAATGTTTTCAGATTATTCTTAAACTCATTATTATTATAATATAAACAAATACACCAATCAACCTAATCCTAAATGCAAAGCTTGATAATGGGATTAAATTTCATCACTTATGAACATTCATAATTATTAGAAATATTAAATTTCTTAGAATATCTTAAGGATATGTATTTTGATAACCACACTACATTAATCAAAGGATAGTGATAAAAAACTCATTAATTAGATTTATATAATATGAAGTTACAATCATTTTATAAAGATACAAAATATATTGATCTCTAACAAAACTATTCAAAGACCAAATCACAATATTATGATTATAATATAATATAATTTTTTTATTAATTTAAATTCTAAAATTTAATATTTATTAAAAAATTTATTCTATAAACCATTTTAATTTATTTTTATATATATGCAACTTATATATAAATATAATAAAACATTCTCATTTGGAGAATGTGAAGCTTTTAAGTAATGAAAAGAAAAGTTATATTTTATAAAACATTAAAATTTTGAAATCAAATTTCTTCTAAAATTTTTTTAAAGTTAAAATTTTTAATAACATATTTAATTGAAATACTAATAAAATAAATGTTACACACAAATTTTATATAGTACAATTTGCATAAATTTTTAAAAAGAATTTAATATTAACTTCAGATTCATATTTAATGAGTTGTTGAATTTACATAAGATTCATCATTATGCATTCTAGATTTATTAAAAATATATTGTAATACATAATTTTTTTTTTATATTTTAACACTGTGAGGTTTATAAATACATGTATATATATATATACATATATATATATATATACATATATATATATATATATACATATATATATATATATACATATATATATATACACATATATATATATACACATATATATATATACATA